AGAGGTAGAGATCGCAGTTGTCCACATTATGTTGTAGCAGCCGAGGAATAAATTTCAAATATTGTGGAAGATAATCAATTTATAAGTCCAAAGCAAATCGTTCAACAAGTGTGCCAACCTATAGTGTTGATTGTATGGCCACTACGTTCGCCTAACTTAAACCCTGCCTACTTTTTTTATGGAAACATTAAAAAAATTAACTATTGATGATTTACATGAATGTATTACACGTTCTGCCAATTTAGTTACCTTGCCAATTTTTTAAACGTTTGATATAATTTTTGTACAAAACTGTAAAGCTTTAGATGTATCCCTTTTCATTACTTATGCGCCTTACATTTGTTATACCCAGAGCGTAGTAAACGCAGTTTTTACCAATTTCGCTTACATCTCATACAGTTCTGTTCCTGGTATTAATTAAGACTTTTTTTAATAAGAAGCAGACTGTTTAATTAACAAAAATTCTGTTATATAATACGCATTCTTCTTCAAGATTCCGCTTTGGCCGAGTTTAGGTCCGATCCAACCCCAAATAATAATTTAACCCGAAATTACGGCATATTCTCTCTTAATTATAGGGCCCTTCATATAATATTTCGGATATAAAGCTGTTTGGAAGGTTCAAATTAAACATTGTTACGTTTATTCAAATACTGCTGTACAAATTTTAGCAACGACGATAATGAAAATCCAAAGCAAACAAAGTAAATAAATTTCCGTGCGAATTCATCACGTAATGCGAATATAGAAAGAGTGTTTGCAACGCAAACTAAATGTTCGGACAATGGTATTATTAAACAGTTTCGTCTAATTCGGTGTTTTCCTAAAATATTGGAACGTTGAAAATTTTCAGGCCTTGCGAAAAACGAACCAGACTAAACACAATTTTAACCTCAAAGGAATCATTATAGGTTATTAAACTGTGCAAGAAATGTGGATTATAGCAATTTAACTTACAATGAATTTGAGTTGTTCATTGCTATTCTATTGAAATTGAAATTCTAATTTGTCCAGTTCCTTCTCCACTGTACTTTTTGATTCAATGTTGAAATAATGTAATGCATGTTGAATTGTTTAGAATTGCGTTATGTAAGAAACAAAGCTGAGAAAATGGTCACTGATCAAGCTTGACGTGAGCTTTAAGTCAACTTACCTTCCAAAAATTCCTCGAACGTCCTGAAATGTTTTTCATTAATACGAACTAGTGTAAGGTATTTTAATTTTGTGCACGTTATAAAGAAGGAAGTTCTTTTAAGGGAAACAACTGGGTTCCTTAATTACACAGCGCCAGAAGAAAAAAATTCCCGGATCAGTTAATATTTTGACCATAATATCTAGAAACTCCTCTAGAAAACGGTTGTCAAGTAGTCAGTGGTTGGTAAGACATTATGTCATAACCTCGTGGCTTCATAATCCCATAACCTTGTAATCAAATAACACAGGCTGTGCGAGGGTGTAGAACCATGAGACTCTGTGGGAGCATGGATCTTTTGCATCAGGAGTCCAAAATTACATGATTGTGTTAGTAGGCTTCCTTACCCGGTATCCCAGTAACTCCCAATTCCGGAACCCAGCATGTGCGAAGATAACCACGAAACTCTGTGGGAAAAATTAATCTCTCGTACATCAAAAGTCCAAAACTAAATTACTTTGAGTTAACAAACTAGCTTAACTCCATAACCCAATAACTCCGTAACCCTATAATCCTGGATATGCTAATACTTCATAGACATGAAACTGAAAAAATTGAGTCTGTAGTCTTGTTTAACTCCGTAGTCTCTTAACTCAGGACAAGCAAGCTTCTGTAGATCCATGATCAGCGGTATACAGTTGTTACAAAGTCACCCGGGTTTTTTCTCTTTGCATCTACACTAAAAAAACAATAGTAATGGGATAGTAATGACTTATTTAAAAAAAAACATTATTCCTGAGTCGTCCCCTTTTTTGACATCCATTCTTAGATAAAGGTGCTGCCATCCAGGCCATGTGCCATCGATCGAACAAGTGATAATAATCGGAAGGGGCAATATCTGATGAATATGGGTTATTTGCCATCGATCGGAACAAGTGGTAATCGGAAAGGGCAGTATCTGGTGAACATAGCGTTTCCAAAATATTTTCATCGGTTTTGCAACATGTGTCCGGGCTTACGCCAGGATTGTCTATATTTGGAATCCATTTTTTTATCACCAGTCACGATACGGTGCAAAAATCCTTTCAGCTGTTAACACTTGCAAAGACGTCGTTCGACGTCTCTCAGTTTCAACTCGTACGGCACCCAATATTCTTGCTTTTGAATTACCTACCCTTAGTGCTTCCTAATGATTCTGCAAGTTCAGCTAGCGTCTGACAGAGTCTTCATGAAGTAATGCCTCTTATCTTTCATCTTCAAACTGTTTTGGTGCGCCAGAACGTTCTTTATTTTCAGCATCAAAATAATTAGTTTCGAGCATAGTCGCTGTTAATCTCGACAAGAATTCTGTGTGCTTCAGTTACAGATTTCTTTTAAATAAAGTATTGCAATAAAATTCCCTTGAGATACTCTTCTTTTATTTATTTATTTAGCGTATGGCATCTACAGAGTAATGTATTAGGACAAACTAATTAACATACAAACTAACTAAAATAACAATAAAATTACAAACATAGAATTAATCATAAACAGCAGTATGTGAAAAATTAGACAGACAGCTATTACAGTTATTACAGATTCACATCTAAGCAGGTCAGCCATTGAACAGCAAGTAGCGTGGCATTCATAATATCACTCCACTCTCCTTGGAACTTCCTCGAAAATCAAGTGAGGGATTGTTTGTTCTGCCGCTCCGCAATCGCATTGTGGGTGGTCGGTAAGTCCCCTCATGGAGAATGACCTTACATCTGCCATGGTTAGTTCTCACGCGATTAAGTCTGCACCATGTTCTTCAGGGCATTGCATTCCTTCTACCGGTATGAAAGGATCAAGATCGTTAGTAAGTGGGTGGGGGTTATTCAGCGACCAGTACTGCCCCCATTCCTCTGCTATATCATACCATTCCGGAAATTTAAGGATCTCGTCTTCCCATATAGGTTTTCTGGATTTCAGGCGGGTAGTTGATAGGTTGTCCATTATTTTTCGGATAGGTATATCCTCGGAGACAGAGGGGTTATTAATTTTCTGCCATTCTCGGACAGTTGCTTGTTGCCGTCTATGGAAGGGAGGTGCTATGTGGCAGAAGACGTGAAGCCAGGGAAGTGGAGTTGATTTTAAAGTTCCTCAGACAATCGTCTTGGTGGCATTAAGGAGGACATCTATTTTCTTCGCGCGTGAGCTCTTGTACCCGACTGAGGCGCAGTATTCTGCCACCCAGTAAACAAGAGATAGTGCTGCAGTGCGCAGGGTATTAGCTTGTGCTCCCCAGGAGGTTCCGGTCAGCTTTCTTAATATGTTATTCCGGGTTTTTATTTTTTGGGTGGTGATTTCTAGGTGTTTTTTATAGGTTAGTAACCTATCGAGGGTGATTCCCAGATATTTTGGGTGACTGTTGTGCGTCCGTCGCTCATTACAGAATATTACTTGCAACTCTCGTCTTGTTCAAGTGCAATACGCTTACTTTGGTTTTGTTTGGGTTTGAGCATAGTCTCTATTTCTTATAATACTGATTAAAGGGTTGAAGGTCGGTTGTCAGTGTTTCTTTCCCCTCTTCAAATGTCTTGCTGTGAGTGGCTATTGCAATATCATCAGCGTAGCAGAATTTTTGAGATTTAGTTGCTGGCATGGCACTTGTGTATAAGTTAAAGAGAAGAGGAGCCAGCACTGAACCATGTGGAAGACCATTGTTAATTGAATAGGATTTACTCGTAGTTTGTCCAACGTTCACTTTGAAGTAGCGATTTTTCCAATTAACACTATGAAAAAAAAAGTAGTTTAAACTGAAATAACATACACTGAATTTCAAGCGTGCTTATAGTATTCCTTTATAGGTGCATCACCATCTTAAACTACACGCTTGCAATTATGATAACGCCATCTGTTTGAAAGCAGCGAGAACTTATTCAACGTTCCTATATTTTCTATTGACTGTACAATTTGTACACTGATCATGAATTTTTATTATCAAAATCGTTAAAATAACAAGTTACAGAGTTATGGGGTTATTGTGCAATGGGATTATGAATTTTAAAGGTTTTGTCAATCACTGACTCTTACTACTCACGTCGGTTGGAAGTCTCGAACACCGTTTTCTAGAGAAGTTTCATGATGTTAGGATCAAAACACGAACTGATCTAAGAGCTCTGACTGGATTCGAATTTAACTGGTGTGATACACTGGTCTTGTCACTTTTTTGTAGCGCTGTGTTATCTACCCATTCTGCTCAAATATGCCCGTTGTTAGTTTATCTTACAATGGCTAAATTTTGATTAAAGAAAAAATTGAATTTCTGTTAAAAAACTGGAAATTTGAAGAGAAAAAAGATTTCCAAAGTAACTTGTTATACTTTTAAAGAAAATGTGTTTAGATTAACGTAAGTTATCTTACATAAATTGTTTTTATCTGGGAATCTACAGTTACTGTGTGTGTCCACTGATTTCTGAGACTCCCCGTATAGGCATTATTTCCAGTATATCTACTTTCTACGTGTTGTAACTAAACTCAGTTTTTCATAACTTCTTTAACTAATGCTTATGGCTTACCTTTGGCCTGCCATCCCGGAAATTTTAATAAACTTTCTTACCACGTCTACAAATAATGTGGATAACATAGACGTAACTGGTAAAGGAAAGTAATTTTGTGAACCCATTGCGTAGTAGCATCTGCCGGTTTTTAATATACCTGTATTTATTATGCCAATTTTTTCCTACCCCCGGTTCTTCAAAACGATAATTTCACCATTTTAATCCGCGTCACACAATTTTCGGAAGGGGTCATTGAAGGATAGAATAAGGCGTGCATTTAATAACATAGAAATTCCTATTTCCCCCTATACTTATATTTATAGTGTCATTTTTTCTGTTTATAGGTTGTGCTTTCGTGAAATACAGTTCACATCAGGAAGCACAGGCGGCCATTAATAGCTTGCACGGGAGCCAAACTATGCCGGTAAGTTTATCATATTTTTTTCATCCACTTCTACCCCCTGTTAAACCGGGTTACGTGATCCTGTGATAAGTAAGTTATATATTTCCAGAAACTACAGTTGCACGAAAAAAGCGTGAGCCCATTATTGCCTTATTTATGGCTTTTTTGAGAGGCCAATGCTTCCAGAAAACCCCAAACGATAACTTGACGTATGTACTGAGTATTTTTAGACTTCCTTTCTTGGAACGGCGTTTTATTTTTTATACTATTTTTTTCGAGATTGTAACCCATTAAATTAAGTGAAGCGAACATTTATTACCTACAGATTTATATAAGGCTTTATTATACTAAAAACTATGCTTCTAAATTTCAAGTTCAAAATATATAGAGGAGAAAATTGCGACAAATTGCTCAAATCACTTTTGTGTTAAATATACACCCGACATAAATAAAAATAGAATATTGCCACCATTTGACCGAATGCCATAATGAAGGTGCGTCGTATAGTAATAATTTTCTTTAAAAACGTTAAAAGTAAAATTTTCCAGCATTGTTGTACTTATATAACAGAATGGGGTTATTCAGTAAATTTTCAAAAACTTGTATACACAAAGTATTGCTCATGATTAGGCGATCCTGAAAATTTCAACACGATCCGTTGAGCCGTTTTCAAACTATATGATTTTTAAAATGCGTATATTTGTCTCAGCCATGACAATGCAATGACGTCACCGCATGGGACGCTCAGCCAGCTTGGCGCTACTTCCAGATCAGTTTCTGCATCTAACAGAATGTTTCAGCGTTTGTGCATATTAAATTTAAAAAATGGAAGCAAATTTCGTAAAAGCAGATTTTTCTAATTTGCCAGAAGTAGGTTTCTTAAAGGTTATGGATTTTTTTAATAAAAACCACGACTTTATCAGTGCTAAGACGAGACGAGTGAAAATGTAAAGGTTACGTTTCAATAACGTGTAAAGCTTCTATAAAGTACGTTTGTAGCGAAAGTTTTGATGTTTTTGTACAATGAGATATAAGGATTTTACGTTTAATTGGGCGAAACCGTTTGTATCACAGGTTTCAAAAATTTACCTAATCAAATACACAATTATTATTACTATTTTTATTCTCATGGAAACTACATAAAGTCTACCTAATATCTTATAAATATATAATATTTATTAAGTATTTTTATATAAATACTTAGTACCTACAGGTATTTGTATAATATTCACAAAAAGTCAACAATGGAAAACACAAGTGTATCGTGTTTCTAGAGGATACAAACGTAATTATTACATGTTCTGTGTCTTCCATGGTTGCTAACAAAATTGGTATCTTAACGTACTAAATCGAAATTTAACAGGCAACTAAAACCCGACCACCCGACTGACCGACAACACACGCAAGCATGCGGCATCGGTTGCCCATGCGGTGACGTCACACCTGCTGGTTCAGCGGATACTCAGCGCGCTAGTTTACGATTTTTTTTTTTTTGGATGACTTCTAGGCAATATAAAATTCTAATTTTTTTGCAGAGAACCCTAAAATTGCAGTATCTTTCCATTGAGCAAATACAAAAAATTTACTGAATGAGCCCATTTTACGTCGTTACACTCTTTTACTAGAAGATTAAATGCTATTTTTTTTACTTAAATCATCATTAAGTGTTGCAACATTTTGTCTTTTTTTTTTTCATGTAAACATAACTCTGAGTTTTTACCAAACACTATCCGGCACTGTCAAAATAAATAATATTTGTAGTATCTGAAATTGAATTACGCCAGTCCAACTTCTTCCTCTTTTTGTGTATATTCATCACGTATTCATACGTGACAAAATGTTCTGAAAGAATTTCGAACGATCGATATCATTCAATCCATTTGATGAGCAGAACCTTTTACATTACTTTCAGTTATAAGACAGAAAGGAAATACGTACAAATTGTTATGAAAAGTTTACTTAGTTTTATTTGTCACAGTTTGGAATAACAACACGTCATAGTTGTCTAATTGTAAAACGATTCTTACACTATAGTTTTCTCGTCTATAAATGATAAAAAATTATTAAATCCTGATAAATTTGAGCGGTAACAACTTGCAAAACTTGAGCAAATTTTACCGCTTCTAATTTGAGTTTTCCCGTGAATGGTCTGTTCACACTATTCTTTTTATTTATGACGCCGCCATCTGATATGATTGATGATATTCAGTATTCTTGACGTGGTTATATCCATAATGTTGTATAAAAATCAGACATTCGAATTTTTGGCAATATTTTCTTCAAATCCTTTCGGTTTTATAGAAGCATGTACAACTGAAAATAAATACTTTCTTACAAATTGATTAGCTTCTACACTGAGCCTGATAAATTCTCTAGATCGTTTATCATCATCAAACATGCTAGGGGAGAAAATATTAATACAAAACTCTCAGCTTAAATAATTTTTCGGTAGGTAAGGTTAGATAAAATAAAATATAAATTTGTACTGACATAATTATATTTGTCTCTTTTTCCTAATTTAATCCGATATAAATACTAGTTCATGGTACATACAGGGCGTATAAGAAATCTTTTCTCGAATTTTGACAGTTGATATTCATTTAATGAAGCTGTCTATAAAATAATCTATAGTCCCAGATATTATTAATGGGATTTTATCTCAAATTACTAGCTTGCATATTATCTATCATCAATTACTACATTAACTGAATAGGGACTACATCATGTAAATTATTAATTTATATTTATTGCATTATGAGACGAAATATTAATTTAATGGTAAACGGTATACAGGCTGTCTACTATAAGAGGGCCAATCCTACGTATCTCGCTTAATACACGTTACACGTCAAAATTCTTTATATGCTGATATTGATATTTGAAAATATGCTACGTTAATGGTTTTTCTTAAGCAGCTAATAAATAGCAGGGGTGTGCAGAAGAGAGGAACTATATAATATGAAAATAGATGACATTAAAGATAAAGTGCGTTTATAATAATAAATATTCCCGACACTTAAAATGCATATATTACGAACGTTTACAATAACAAATCAAGGAAACGAGATAGTAATTATTTGGAATTTAATAAAAAGTATCTAGCACTACGACCAAAACAGGCAATGTCAGCTCAATGCAATGCGAAATGGGAAGATCATGTCACGGACCAGGTATTAAAAAGAAATAGATACCACAGGAAGTTGGCCCAATAAAATTGCAGTGCTTAAAATTGCCTGATCTCACAACTTATCCAGAAGAAGACTCTATAGAAAATAAAACTCAATTCACAAACAAGATTTTACATGAAAATTCTCGGGGAAATTGTATGGTAACAGAAAATGATAACGCAGTCCAGTGTTATTACAAAATATGCGGCAACTATAGCGCGTTGTTTTAAACCCGAATTTTATCGCTTCAATAAATTTTAATATTTGTTCGAATCATAATTTTAATTTTGTCTTTAATGAAAATTGATTTATCGGTAAGTAATCACTTACCAATGACTAATTTCTAAACGTCGCTTACAAATGTCTCAACAAATTCAGTACATGTGTCAAATTACCTGAGCGTGCGAAAACGTAATTTTCTAGATGGCAGCAAATGTTAAATTTCTACACCACTGAATTTTGGGTGCTTTTAAGGATTACATCGTATTTTAAAATTTGGAAGAAATAAATCTTAAATTTTTCTTATGAAATGATGAGTTTAAATTGATTTTCAACTGTATGGTAATTTATTACAGGCAATAATAACTCTCAAATAGTGACAATATACAGGGTGGTCAAATGAAAACGAAACAGAGCCATTTTCAGGAACTGCATCAAGATTGTAGAAAAACGCTCAGGCCCGTCGATTTTAGATTGAAGGGGGACATTCTTTGCTGGTATTTTTTACTCCGCCACTTTCACCCCCAAGCAAGGGTGAGTATCACCCCAAAATATTTAAATGGCATTGGGGGTTGAATAATATTTCTTTTGAAAGGTCTTACATTTATTATTATTTCTTTTGAAAGCTGTTACTTTTACATTTAAATATTTTGTGGTGATGCTTACCCTTGCGTGGGGGTGAAAGTGGCGAAGTCAAAAATACCAGCAAAGAATGTCCCCCCTTAATATAAAATCGACGGGTCTGAGCATTTTTCAACAATCTTGACGCAGTTCCTGAAAATGGCTCTGTTTCATTTTCATTTGGCCATCCTGTATATCCCTTAATGACACCACTAATGAATACAATCCATATTTTATTAGACTTCATCTACTACTATATACGTTTTATTAGACATCATTCATTTCGAAGCATTTGCATAAATCATAGATGTTATGTTTTTCAAAAACTTGAACACATCCTACATTTCGAAAATTAAGTCATTTAAAACATAACTTCACGCATAAAGAAAAAATTTCATAAATTTTATTACCCGAACATACTTAAGGAGTATCCTGTATATTAAGTGATTTAGCCCCCGTGACCCCTATGTTTTATTCTCGCATAGGTGCATATTCTATTTTGCAAATGTGTTTATTTCACTTAAAACATGGCAAAAATAAAAACGAGAATGCATAGCGATAGCGTTGATTATTTGAATAATTGTAACGTTTCTATTTATTAGGCATGATTAACCAAGCGATTAAATAATTACCAAATATTTGAAATAATGTGTACGATGATAATTAAATATTTGCAAATATGCGCTGGACTATTAAGCCCTACAAATACAAAACGGCATGTATTATTTATGAACGCCAAGAGCACGTTGGCAGAATTCACTGACAAATAACCGCGGGATGTTATTCTATGTAAATTATTCGACCTGCAAGTTGCAAATGAGGCAATAGCACTCACATATGGTCCCATCTCGGCAACGAAGGCGTATTCCGTATTATGCAGATTATGTGTACTCAGTCATTATGGCCACTTGAGCGTGGTGTTTGTTCTCGTGGCCCCACCTCAGTAGAGCTTTTCCCTGTTCTTTCCTTCGTTGCACAAAAATTCCTTGCTCCTCGTCCGCTCGTAAAAGCCGA